TATAAGGGTCAAGAAGCGACAGTTAGAACCGGATATGGAACAACTGATTGGTTTAGCATAGGAAAAGGAGTACAACAAGGATGTATATTGTCACCTTGCTTATTTAATATATATGCGGAGTACATCATGCGAAATGCTGGCCTGGATGAATCACAAGCAGGAATTAAGATTGCTGGGGAAAAGATCAACAACCTCAGATATGCAGACGATACCACTCTAATGGCAGAAAGTGAAGAGGACCTAAAGAGCCTCTTACTCAGAGTGAAAGAGGAGAGTGAAAAAGTGGGCTTGTTCTTCATGATGTCACCCCAGCTCCCCCTCCATCCTCTTATCAATAGGAGGCTCGGTAAATCATTAAGTTGAAAATTATGGACTAGCATCTTGACTAATTAACCATTAAATACATTCTGAATATTTTTATAAGACAGCCCCTTCCCCAAGTGGTACTCCAGACGATTATCAAGTTTGTCAGAAGGTCACCCAGAAAATTTCATGGCTGAGTAAAGGTTGGATCCTGTGCCCTGGTCTCATTCTGCCAGTCTTGTCATTGCACCATGTAACTGTGCATGCAAATAGTTCGTGCTTCAGCATAACAACCTACACTGATCATGTGTATAGATAACAACATTAAATTTTAAAGAATTAAAAATAGAGTGATCTTCCTAAAAGACAAATTGGTCTTCCAAGTGTTTATTTCTTTCACTCTTGATATGTATGCTTTATGATTGGTCCCATTTGTCTATGATGGTTTAATGCTGATGAGCTGAGAAGAGTTATTATAGCTTGATTTTTTAAAAAAAGAAAAGCTTTACTACTGAGCAAATTCAGGGCAAATCATTTTTAACTCAAGAGGTTCTTCTGGTTGACATTTAATTATGTGATGAAGTAAGATAAGAGATGTGGGTATAATGTAACTCTTACCTCATTCTGACTTACTGGAGAGAAGATGGATACTAAGGTTGTAATTCATAGCACATCTCCTTCAGAACAAGCCCGTTAACTGAAGAGAGTCTGTGTTGGCTCATGGATTGTAGATCAAAGCCCTGTAGCTGCTTTTCAGTGGTATCATTTGAAACTGATATCTCTGTGCATCAGTCTGCATGACACTCTTGCATGTGCATCTTTATGTGCATAAGATTACACATCTAAGGAAAAAACCCTCAGGTTTGACTCAAGAAAAAAAAAACACCTTAGGCCTGAGTGTGATAAGCCATGTCAAAGGAACAGGCACACAGACCAGTTCATGATGGAGAACCAGTTCAAGGATACGTAGCACTTTAGGTGCATGACTATTTGCCACAAGTAAATATCTGAAATGTGAAGGGCAGAAATGCATCCTCAGGCATTCTGAGCCATGTACTGGACATGCTAATTACAAAATCTCAGTACTTACCTACTTCCCCCCCTCCCTATTTTTAATGCTCTTCTGTGGACTTTCCAAGTTTATTACACATCTGATGAACTTAAAGGAGATAATTGCATTATGAAATAATGGACTGTTCTAGGAACTGGTTCATCCTTTTTATGGCAATCATATTTCTTGCACCTACCTTGAGGTTCTCCACAATAAACATATAAAACGTGAGGCAGCTAAAAGTAGGGGTTATCCAGCAGGTGGCCCTGATGGGCTACAGTTCCAGAGCATGTTTAGGGTGCATACTTTACATTCTTTTCATATTTACTGCAACATTGCCGTAGTAACAGCAAATGCAGCCTCTGTATAAAGCAACCCTCTTTAGTGGATTGATGTTGGGTCTTAGCTGTTTTAATTTTGCTTTTTCTTCCTGAACTACTGACCAGTCCCCCACCCCCCTGTACGGCCTCAGCGTTTGTGCACAAAGCCTGCTGCCAGCAGCATGGGGTGCCACACATGCCTGAACTATTAAAAGGCTCCCACCCTTATATTTAAATTATTAGCTGCGTCTTCGAGAATCGGGCCTGAAGCGGTTTTCCATAATGAACCCCTGGAAGTGAATTCCCCGGGGACTCTTTAAGGCGCCGCAGGACTGGTTTTCGTGACAAGCTATTATTAAGCCGCCCCAACCAGGGCCGACCTTCCATGCGGTCTCGAGTGTTTTGCCGCTGTCCGCTACCGGCTGGTACTGAAGCGGATGGCGCGCCTGCAGGGGAAACACCTGCGGGATGGGAAACTACAACTCCCGGCAGACAGTTCAGACGGAGGGGCCCAGCAAAGGAGGGCCCCCCGCGGATTTCGCAATCCCGCACGTGCTCCCTCTGGTGGGCGCGACTGGCGTGGGAGGCGTGTGTGGCCAGCTTGACCTGAGCGCGCCGCTCTGCGGGCCAGGCTGTGGGGGAGACAAAAGAAGAGCGAGGGAGGGAGTCCGGCCGGCAGGCGTCTTCTTCGCGGGGCTCCTGTCTCAGCCTAGCCGGCTTGCGGAGCCCGGCTGCTGCCTAGGGGAGAGGGGGGTGCCGGTCCCTCCGGCAGGAGGCAGCGTCCGCCCCTCTGCTCCATGGCCGAGGACTGCTGAGGCGGGCAGCTGGAGCTGGAGCCCCGAGGAGAAGCGCGCAAGCCCCCGCCGCACGCCCCGCCGGCGCCTCCTCTGGCTCTTCCACGGGAGTTTTGCCCAGGCAGCCGGGCGGCGCACGATGCGCCCTGCTGCTCCCGTCTGATCGCCAGCCGCGCCGCGATGATCTCCCCGGAGCTGCCGCCGCCGCCGCCGCCGCCGCAGCCCAACCATGTCGTGGCCACCATCGAGAACCTGCCGCCGGAGGGTAGCGGTCCGGCGGGCGGCAGGAGCGCCATCTCCGCCCCCTCGCCTTCCAGCGTGCGCCAGAGGATCCGAAAAGTCTTTAACAGGTGAGAAGCGGGCCAGGCAGGCAGGCAGGCAGGGAGGGAGCGGCTGCGGGGAGTCCCGGGGAGGTTCCCTTCCTGCCTGGAGACAAAGCGCGGGCACTGTCCGAGGCTCCCCTCTGACTCACCAGCCCAGCTCTGGTCAGGCAGCTCCCGGGCAGAGGCACTCTGTACATGCTCGGTTTCTGTGTCCTGTGGGCACGGAGCTGAAGACAGGCTCCCGGTCTAAAGCCCGGCCCAGACCGGACTGGAGCCCTGGCCAAAACCATCACCTCCCGTCAATAACGGAGCTGTCTCCAGAAGAGTAGGACGCGTTCTATTGTTCAGAGTTTCTGTGGGGCAGGGCAGGGGTGTTCTGAAGAAAGGGGCCGACCATTTTGTTCAATTGGGGGATTTGGAATGAGGCACTTTCTTCATACATGGGGGGGGGGGGGCTGGCTTAGCACAGGGATCTCCAGAAAAAATCGGGAGTGACACAGAAGCTTGCATTGTATGCAGCAGCAGGTCTGCTGAAATGTTCTGCATCCTCATTGGGGAGGGGGAGAGGGAAAGGTCAATATTCTGGCTCCTCCTTTTTCAAAATTCCTCTATTCAGTATTCCCATTAAGCACTAAGGACAGAAGAGCAAAAGGTTTCTAGTTTGTGAGATTCATCTTTTGAAAATGAGCGACTGCCCCCTTCTCACCATGCTTCACTTACCCTGAGAGTATGAAACTGATGAATAGGGGAGAGAAGGCAGAAGACGGCTGAGATTATACCTAACTAGACCAGTTCTTCATGAAGGGAAAAAACAAAAGTGGTCTACTGATGTCATTGCATGTGGAAAATAATGGCAACATTTGGTTGGTGAAATTCTGTTTGCAATCTAGTTATGGTCATCTTGAATGCTGTGAAAGAACCTCTTTAATTCTTTTTTAAAAAAACAACACTCTACACAGGATCATAGCTTTCATGTTCCTCTTGCCATGTGGCTCTGGAAGAATCCGAGTTTAGTTTGGGTCTTTCCCCAGTGGAAATCGTCACCATTATTCTGTGTATTTTAAAATTACAATGGCAAGAGCTCTAAGGAGCTCATCCAAGTTTAGATTACATGAGCAATAAGTAGAAAGTGGGGAGGATTTAAAAATAGCTGGGGTGATTAGTCTCTTATTTGCATGGTGATTCTCTGTGCGTATTTGTAATATTCCAAACAAACAAAACCTAATGCCTCCCAAGGGTTCCAGGGGGTCTGGATTAGTTCAAGTCTGCGGAAAGTTTGCATTGTCAAGATGACATGGTCTCGAATTTAAAAGGGAATATGTTGGTGAGGCAAAGCTGGATTCTAGCCCTTGCAGGTGGTCCGTTAGCAGAAGATTATTTTCCAGGAGTGTCACTTGACAGAAAATCAGTTTATTTCATAATTGTATCTCTGTAAATTGAAAATCCCTATTTTCTTCTGGCTTGAATCTTATCAGGTCTGACAATCTCCAGGAACCCGCTAAAATACACTGGGGAAGCTTCTTATATATTGATTTAATCTCTGAAGTTCTTCATGGATGGCCAGCTGAATTTAGTGTACTCTTGCCCATCTGATTCAGAGTTGCTGCAGCTGAAGATTTATCTAACCTGTGTCCCTGGATCCATATGTATCCATGTCACTGGAAGATCAGAATAGTTTTTCCTGATTGAGATGCAGACTCTTAGCCAATCCTAAATATCTAATAAATGTGAAATCTCAAGCTTTACTCTGAAGTTCACATTCTGGTCTCAGAGCCCAGCCCCTTGATCTTAAATATATGGCTGAGTTCAAACATTATGGACAACCATGATTTGGCCTTCAGGCTGTGCTCTATTCCATTGCCCTGTTCATAGTACCATAGTCCGTTGTGATGTCCAGTTCAGGCAGATTGTAGTTAATGTTAACCTTAGTTTGCCATCAGATTATTAGTCTGGTTTGGGGTAATCTTTTGTTAGTTTGCCTTTTTTTATATCACAGCTAAATGAAGAAGTGAACTGGTTCTAAAGTTGCCAACCTCTGGGTGGTACCTGGAGATTTCCTGCTATAATTGATCTCCAAATGAGCCTCCGTGGTTTCTCTGAGGTGAGGAGAAAGGTACCGTGCACATACTTAGAGGTACTTACTGTTTTCCAGATCTCAGACATCTTAATTTACATAAATTCCAAGGCTTTGACAAATGCACTGACTAGAGCAGTTGTAAGGTAACTTGGTGCAGCAGTGTATTTAATTTTTCAGCGTTTTCAGAAAATCTGATGATTTTTTGCGACTCTTCAAGTAGTATTTTTTCTTCATTTTAGTGAATGCTTGGGGAAAATCTCAGACACTTGTTAAAGAAGAAGAATAGGTTTTTTAAAAATTGAATTATCCACACATGTAAGATGCAGAAGGAAAATACCTCACCTGAGTCAACATAGTAATGCTTTCTTGGATGCATGTTTTAAAGCTATAACTATGGTGAATTTTACCCACTGCTTCAGCTCAAAATGGCAGTAATGGTGCCAAGGAAGGAACATTGCACTCCTCTTGGGAAGTTTGGGTGTTAGTTGTAATGGAACTGGAGAAAGAAGAACAAAAAGTACAAATAACTGGTGGTTCCAGTCCTACCCCTGTCTGTGTTCCATCATACCTTAAGTCAGTAGTCTTCTTGTAAGATCCAGGTATCATTGAACTTTAAGCACATGGCACCTAAGTCATGAAGAAGGATAAGGGGGAGCTAGAGATCCCTCACCAGTATGAGGGCCAGGAGGATTATACATAAGTGCCGTAAAGTCACAGCTGACCTATGGCGACCTCAGCACGGGGCTTTCAAAGCAAGTGAGAAGCAGAAGTGGTTTGCCTTTGCCTTCCTCTGCAGAGTCTTCCTTCATGGTCTCCTATTCAAGTACGACTTAGCTGCCAAGATTCAATAAGATCTGGCTATACTATGTATCCTTTCCTCCCAGGAGGATCCATGGGCAGAGCAAAAGAGCTGGAGATAGGAAACGCAAGCCGACCCCAGTCTGTGTATGTGAAAGGAACAAAACAAGTATCAGGGCTAGGGAAGAATCCTGTCTATTGCTGAGGACCTGCCATCCTGCCATTCCTCCTAGCATGTGTGCAAAAGAAGGCAGGAGGCATTGTGCCCCTGTGGTCCACATATGTTCACCAGCAGCAGGTCCTTCACAAAGGCTGTCAAAATAGCAGCAGCTCTGTATTTATTTATTTATTTATTTGGCTTATATCACACCCTTCCACATGGGCTCAGGGCGGCTAACAAGAGGAAAATTGCCATACATAGCACTAAAACCAAATAAAACAATCAGATTACATTATACATTTAAAATCGGTGCTCACAACAATATATCATCCAAGATGGGGACTCCAGTGCAATGTTTCAGAGGTACTGCTCTCTCTTCTTGATCGGTCTGCGCTGTCTGTTCTCCATTCCCAAGGCCAGTTCGCATCGCCAGAGATGGTAACGTGATGGTGGTACAGTGATGGCAGCGGCTCCTACTCGAAAGCCTGGCGGAAGAGCTCCATCTTGCAGGCCCTGCGGAACTGCATAAGGTCCCGCAGGGCCCTGATCTCTGGGAGCTCATTCCACCAGATAGGAGCCACCACCGAAAAAGCCCTGGCCCTAGTCGCAGCATATTTAACATCTCTCGGGGCTGGAACGACCAGAAGATGTTTTGCCCCCGACCGTAGTGCCCTTGGGGGAACATATGGGGAAAGGCAGTCCCTTAGGTAAGCTGGACCCTGACCATATAGGGCTTTATAGGTAAGAACCAGCACTTTGAAGCGGACCCGGTATGCTATTGGCAGCCAGTGCAGCGCCTTCAGGACAGGCTGGACGTGATCTCACCTAGAGAGACCCATCATTCTGCACCAGCTGCAGCTTCCGGATCTGCGACAAAGGCAGCCCCATGTAGAGAGCATTGCAGTAGTCTAACCTCGAGGTGACCATCACGTGGATCACTGTGGCCAAGTCATTGCGGTCAAGGTAGGGAGCCAACTGCCGTGCCAGCCGCAGATGGTAGAAGGCTGACTTGACAGTGGCTGCTACCTGGGCCTCCATCGTTCAAGAGGAGTCCAGGAGCACCCCCAAACTCCTAACCCTCGGCGCCGGCACCAAAGGCACCCCGTCGAAGGCCGGGAGAGGGAGCCCCAGCCCTGAACCAACTCGACCTAAGCCCAGGACCTCTGTCTTCGCCGGGTTTACCTTCAGCCGACTCAGCCTGAGCCAACCAGCCACAGCCTGCAATGCCCGATGAAGGTCATCCGGGTCGGAATCTGACCGGCCGCCCAACATTAGATAGATCCTATAGAGGATCGAGAATGATACAGCTGGCCAGGCTCTGCAGTCTCGGAGGGTCTCAGCCTGTGATTCAAAGGCTTCTCCTTTGAGCAACTGAGGAAAGAGAACTACAGAAAGAGAAAATGAAGTGGAAGTTTATGAATAGTTGACAATCAGAACTGATGGACCCAGGTGCAGTGTAAGTAAATGAAGAAGAGAAGAAGAGGAGATTGGATTTATACCCCGCCCTTCACTACCCAAGGGAGTCTCAGAGCGGCTTACAAACCCCTTTCCTTTCCCCTCCCCACAACAGACACCCTGTGAGGTAGGTGGGGCTGAGAGAGCTCTGACAGAAACTGCTCTCTTTCAAGGACAGTTGTGCCAGAGCTTGTGACTGACCCAAGGTCACATCAGCAGATGACAGAAGGATTGACTTTTGATGTGTGCAGTGTCTTCCTAAGTAAATGTAGTTACGTGGGCAGGGCAGGTAGAAGTTCATCTTAAATACCTGTGGCTTTGCACTAACTCCTAATATATTCTTTTTGTACTAATCCAGTCAATGCAGGATAGAACAGCTAAATGGAACCTCCATATTTACATTCAGTGTACTTCTAATTGTCAGATGCTGGGAATATACAGCCAAAGATGGCTGTCTGTATTATGTCTGCCCCTTGAGCTTCCAGAAGTAGGATTGATGAGAGGAGGTGATTATGGACACAAAGTTCCAGGGGCCCC